TGTAGTTCCCCTCCCCGGCCGCCAGGGGTCGCTCTTCCTATGTTTAGTGTTACTGAGCGAACCCCCTGCCAGGACTCAGTACTTGTCTGTCTGTAACCCGGCTCAGAGGGAGAAAAAAAAGTTCCCCCAAGATGGCGGCTGTGACATTACTGAGGAGCTGGGCTGCTCCCGCCCGGCTGCTGGCAGGTGCGTGACTGACTTCCCGCCCTGAGCCTCCCCAACCGCCACACTCCGCGCGCTCACACTTCCCCCGCGACACTGGCGCGAGGCACAGGGACGCCCTACCCCCACCTCCTACCCAGTCCGCCACAACTCTATGGTGCTCCCGCGCGCCCCTGCCCTGTCAATGTCATGTCCTCCCCCACCAACATGGCTCCAACATGGGGGGGACCTGGCTGGCTGGCTCCAACATGGGGGGGGACCTGGCTGGCTGGCTCCAACATGGGGGGAAGGGGGGGACCTGGCTGGCTGGCTCCAACATGGGGGGATAGAGAGAGAGGGACTAATAAAGTTACATTACATTGTACAGTCACTGCTTTCTCTCTATAATACAGTATAATACTTGGAGTAATGTATAAAAGTACAAAGTATTTTACATTTAAACCAGTACCTGTCCAGACTGAAAGCATCATATCTACAGAGAGTTAAAATGCATGTTATATATTAAAATATCACCAAAATAGAGCCTGTCACCGTGTGGAGTACGATTAATACAATTATAATTTGTAATATATTTTATATAAATATATATGTTATAAAAAGGTTTTTTAGGTACATGTTAAGCCAGAAGTTAAGTATGTGTTTCGGAGTGGGGGGGGGGGAGAAGGGGGCTGCCCAGCAGTATGTAGAGCACGTGTGGTGCAATTAGGAAAAAGATTAATTAAAAAGTTATTCCAATCCTTGTGGTCATGGTGTTGGGGGTACCCTGGCCCGGTAATGAGGCAACACTATGTTTACTGTGGGTCCATTGACGTGGTGCCTGCTTTTGCAGAGCCGCAGAAATCGCCGCCATCGCCATTCATTGGTAGGTGGCTTTCAGCCAATGACTATCTGTGCAAAAAAAGTTCTACAGAATAGACATTAGGCAGCCCCGAACTCTGATGACACCCTAATTATGCATAATCATAGTGATACGCCAGACATACAGACTCCGGGCACCATAATCACTTCAGGATCACTGAAGTGACCATAGTGCTTAGAGTAACCCTTTAATCAGCTGCTTGCACTACTGCAGCATATGGTTGCTACATACTACATGGATGAGCTTTTCATGTACTGCCCATTGGTCTTTAGAAGCAGTGCAAGAGCTGGAGAGCATAGCAGGCCAAGCACACCAGGACACATGTTAATTAAAGGGACACTGTCGGCACTATAACCATTTTCATCATACTACAGCCACTTCAATGAGATTAGTTAGCGCGCCTACAATGTCCTTTTTAAGGTTTCCAGATTGGCTGTGTTTATCCCGCACATGCACTTTATTACTATTGCCATTTATATAGCACCAATAGATTCCGTAGCACTTTACAATATTACAAGAGGAGGGATTTAACTATAACTAGGACAATTACAAGAAAACTTATAGGAACGAAAGGTTGAAGAGGACCCTGCTCAAACAAGCTTACAGTTTATAAATGCACTTATTTATATAGTTGTTTTTCTATTGAAACATGCTGTCCAATGGAGTTTCCAGTGGTGGTATATCCAAAGTTAATTTATTACAGTAGTATGAGGGAATGTATGTATATAAAATCAGTCTTTGGCACAGCACTTGACAACTTGCTTATCCTGGTGCAGTCTCTCATGGTGTTACATTGGCAGAAAGGGGAATACTCAGGGAACTTCACTGATAAAGATAACATGCTTTTGTTGCAGCATAAAAGACTGTGAACACTTCACTCTGACTGGGACATTTTTATTTTTATATATATATAGAGAGAGAGCGAGAGAGAGAATATTTTTTTCCCCTCTTTGTTGTATATGATGTTTAAAAATAAATTAATTTTTTATCATTTTATTGCAGTAAAATTTCTAATTTTATTTTCATATTTGTAATTTACCCAGGTACACTTCATGCCCGCACCACAAGTATAGGGGCATGGCAGCATTGTTGTAGCCGACGAAACTTTAGTAACAGCAAAATTCTTGTGGAGTTGGATGAAGCAACAGGTGAGACTATATGGGGGGTGGGAGGGATGACTTAAATGGACACTAAAAGCATCCAGTAGGTCTGGATGCCTCTCCCCTCTCACCCCCCCCAATTTTAACTTTGCAAGTGAAAACATTGCTGTTCTGCAGGCGCACTAGTCTCCCAATGCTTTTCCATGGAAAAAGCATTTGATTGGCAGAGATCATCAAGCTTGATGATCTCAGCCATTGAGGCCGGACGGCTGCGCGGAGGCAAGGTAAATTAAACTTTTTTGGTGGGGGGGGGGGACTGGGCAAAGTAGGGCACCATAGTGTTAGGATTACTCATCTTCCTAAATTTATAGTGTTCCTTTAACTATAGCAAAAATTGTAATAGAAAAAAATAATAAAATTTTAGCAACATGTTTACTTTGTCCGTTCACGAAAACCTCCCATTTTGTATTTACACTGTGGATTAGGTAGCATTCATTCTGAAAAGAAATATCCAGAATATCCAGTATGACTGCAGTCGACTGGTCTAAGACATTCTAATTATTTAAGGCCCAGCTTGAGAGGATAGCTATTAGTGATTTAATGACCGTGCCGTACAGAGTTCGTACCAGCGAAGGTTAATAGCTGACATTGCTTAACAACCAGATAGTTCAGCTGGTTTCATAATCTCTCTCAGAATATAATAAGGCTTTTATGTTGCAGAATCTGAATTTACACAGTATTTGTTGACCGAACAAACAACCAAGAGTGAGAGAGATTATTTCTAACAAGGAAATTCCTCACGTGGAAAGCTATGATCAGTGCTTTTTTTTTTTCTGACGATAATTACTAGCACTAATTAGAAGATCCTTGTTTATAGTAATCACGTTTTATTGAACAAGTTTAACACTTTTTTATTTTCAGTTGTATTGGATAGTGTTAGAAGTATGTCCCAAATTCCCTCAAAAAAGTACTGGCTATATCCATTAACAGTATCTTAGATCAAGGGTGAAAATTGTATAGTGTTCATTAGATAGATACATAGAAATATATGCACACAAAATGTACTGAAAAATGTTTATGCAATTGTACACATGTCTCCTTTAAAAAAATTAATGGCCGACCGAGCCAGACGCATGTGGTCAGTGCTCCTCAGGGAAATCTGAGTTTTAAGCCATATACTGGACATTACTACTATAACTCTGGCACTAATCCTGCTAAATTGGCTGAGGAATGCTCCGTGGAACTTTTGTGCCGACATTTGCCTGTGTTTGGTAGATATAGCCCGTGCTAGGCTTCTCAGCGGCCTTCGACCATACTCGAGGCGGGGAAGGCAGATGATCCTCTGCCTTGTCTGGAAGACAGCTTGCTTAAGAGCCCTGTTCGACTTGTTTATACACACAAATTGTGCGCTATATCAATGCCATGTATCGTTTTGTCTTTTTCTCTGTCATTATCTATGAAGTACTTATTGACGCTGTCATTGCTTGCTTGTAACCTCTTGCACAACAAAAAATAAAGAATTCTAAAAAATATTTAGAATTTTAGTAAAACTTTTGTGAGATTTATGATTATTGGTAAACTGAAAACTAAATAGTGACTTGAAGACTTAGCAACTTATTTCATTCTGTTACACAAGTTTTGCAGTTTGGTTTTCAATTCGCAACAACGCAGAATGTTTATTTCCCATACTACGCTAGTGAGAACGTTTTCTCATGGATAACTCTTATCAGGTGCATTCTTTAAAAAAGACCCTTTTCTGCTCCAGTGATGCAGGCAGTTCCACCACCCCCACCCCCACACACACTCTCCCCCAAAAAATCTGTTTTCTAATGGGGACAATTAGCCATATATACTAAACTGTGAATTTACCAGAAAGTGTAAAATTGCAGGACAAACTAGAAGAAATCACTAACTCTGCTGCGATTTTCGATTCAATTCATCACATTTCACATGTTTAGTAAATAAACCCCTAATTATTTTACTAACAAAGCTATATCCCAGTAGAGACTCATTGGATGCTATAACGTATTACCCACAGTGAAGTACTTGTTCATCTTATTATTTGTGTGTACACATATATATATTTGTCCTCTTCTTTCTTTTTTCCTCTCTAGTTCACACGGACACTAAATCTAAAGATCCGTGTTTAAACATTTAGCAACTGGCTTTACGTCCTAGGCCCATAGTCCCGTATGCTTTCCATTGACAGCATGTAATGTATGACTACATGCCGCACTGCAGCAGGCCTATATCAGGTTTCTGACTAAGGTGATGTGCCCTGGTGATCAAAGGCAGCATCCTACGCTCCCCTGATCTGCTCTCATGCTGATAAGGCCTGTGTACGCTGTAATATTGTTTTGTATTATTTTTTTCTCTCTCTCTTTTCTCAGGGGTGGCAGTTGTAAAAATGAAAAACCCTCCAGTCAACAGCATGAGTTTGGAGTTTCTAACAGAATTTTCCATAACCTTAGAAAAACTGGAGATGGACCGCGGCTGTCGAGGAGTTATCCTGACCTCTGTATGTGTAAAAACTGGTACTTTGCCCTGTGCGCTAACAATTTGTAATTTATAATAAAACAAAAGGAGTAAAAAATTAATAAAAAATATTCTGTGGACATTCAGTATGCTTAGTGATATTGTAACTCTTTTCTTTCTTTTGTAAAAATTTATTATTATTAAACAAATGGAATATAGACACATTTTCAGTATCACTGAACTGTCGTACAGTATCTGTGCTCGAGTACAAAATAGAAATGAAAAACTAAGTGTGGTTTTTT